CTTGTTCATATCTTGAGATCCATCAGTATATATGTAGGTATGTGTTGGCCAGTTTGATTCGATCTGGTTAAGTATTAGTGTTGTTTTCTGTCTGTTTTGCCTATGTTGGGCTGAGCTTGTAGCATGATGTGTAGTGAGGTATATATGTAAGGTGGCGGTTTGTTTCAGTAGAGGGGCATGTTGTCAGTTTTTGAGGTTGTAGATGTGGAGGATGTTGTGTTAGCGTGTTCGATAAGGAGCTTTGTTTTTATTTGTTTTGAATTTTGAATTGTAGATTTTCTTGTATTGTTTTATTTGGTTGTGAGAGTATTATAGATGGGGTTGTGTTGGGCCCAAGTCCAATAGTTTAGGCTGATTTGTTATCTTCTGTATTGAGTTGATGTGATGCCTGTCATTGGTAATAATGTGGGGTAGCAGTCGTTGTAGCCAGGGCTATTTTGAAGGCTTGATACTGAATAGTTTTGTTTATTAATATTGATATTGGATAGGGCTAAAAGTATGAGAGTATGTGAGTCAGTGTAATACCTTGTATACGTGTTTTGTATATATTTATGAGGGTGTGTTTGTCAGCACCCTAGTCGGTGGCCAAGATGTAAAATATGTTTTTGGCATGACTTGACCAGGTTATGAATATGGGGTGTCCATGTTAGGTGTAGGCTAAATGTAACTTGCTTCTTTTTTTGGAAAATGGTTTCTTCGTTATGTCAGTTTAGTTTGGGTGTAAAATTTGTCGTAAAAGTGTTTTTTCTTTTTCAAAATAATAAGCCAATTTTTGGGGGGTATTGATTTGAAATCCCCATTTGATAGACCAGTTTTGGATGATAATAAATGCAGATTGGGTTTTAGTTTGTGTTTGTTTATTGAGGTGGAGGAGTTCCAGAGATAAATGTCAACTGCAAATTTTGCTGTTGACGGAATTTGGAAAAAATATCAATCATGAAATAAAAAAGGGTCGGCGACAGCATGCTACCTTGCAGGGCGCCATTTTGTAATGGTAAGGTGTTAGATAGGGTCTTATGTGATTTAACTGTTTTCTTTCAGTCCGCTAGAAAAGAGTGGATGAAATGTAGTATACGCCCATTTATGGCTTTATTTTCCAATTGTTCTATGTTGCCTTTGTTCCAAACCATGTCGAAAGCGTTGCTGACATCCTTAAATATGGCCAAAGTGTGCATGTGCTGTTCTGATGTCTTGTTCTAAATTCGAAGTGGGAAACGTCTGAGACCTGCTTTATTTCGGTCTTTCCTGCAACAATAATCTGACACGCCGGTATATAACTGAAGTACTGTTAAAAGCGGCGTTAAACCGAACTCACTCACTCTTGTTCTAAATGTCAACTATGGTCTAAAGCTTCCTTATTGGGTGTGAAGCATTGGATTCTCTTTTTCTGAGGCGGATGAATTTATAATTTAGAGCGCCGAAGGTTATGTTGGTGGGTAGTGAGGTGGATTTAAATGTTTTGTGGTTTGTTTTATTATTTCTGTTGGTTTTAGGCTGTGTGTTGGGGGAGTTTGTTGGTGATTGTGCTTTGTGAGAGTAAATGGGTTGGGACGGTATTAAAATGGAGAAGGAGGACCTTGTTTGGGGTAGAACATAATGATGTGCTAAGGAGGAGGAAGGACATAATTACCTATGGTGAAGAAGTTGAACCAAAACAAATACAGAAAACAAATAGGCTTGTTGTAGAAAAAGCCGGGATGGCTGGGGTCGTGACTGCAAACGGCGGTACTGGCGAGGAGAGAGGTTATGGTTTATTTTATGGTTGAGTTTGTAGATTATGATGACGTGTACAGATGACGATGACGTCCACAGGAGAGGAGGTGAAATGCGTTCGATGAGCATGGATATCGATTGATGAAATCATTCATAAAATGAATGAATAAATGATCCGAATAAAAGAAAGAAATGGAAAGGTTTTTATTCCTAGCGTGTAGCCACGTTTCAGTAACATATACAACATGTTATGTTCCTTACATCTCGTATGTCTTCAAGACTGCGAACAGTTTAACGCATCATCTCTATTTCAATATATTCTGGTCTGGGGATAGGATGGCCCGCATGACATAAGCAGTGATGCACACTGATATGTTTATAGTTTTATAGGCCGAGGTTGGAGGTTAATAATGTGTTTTAGTTGAAACCTGATTGGCCGCTTTGCTAGCTTCTTCGTCTCCAAATATGCCAGTCTGGGCTGGGACCCTGGTGGAGCTCCATATCCGTTTTGTGGCTTGTGTTGTGACCGACATGTGATACACCTCTCATCTTCATCATATGTTTCCCTTGTCATCATTTGTTCACAGAAACACGGCCTGGAGGGATGGCGGATCCTGAACATAAGGATGAGGAGGGCGCACCTCGCTTACATCCCCAACAGGAGGACGATGACGAAACATACTACCCACATATCCATGATATGTACGCCAAGTACACATCTCACTCACATCATCTGACAACGTACGAGGACACGGTCACATTTCCACTTTACGGGAGTGTTTTAGGTAATGTTAATTTTATCAAGCTAAATTACTCAGCGTTTGTCTTTTGAAACATGGAAACTAAATGTGCATCACTTGGGAAATAATGTCTTAATACGTGATGATCACAATTAGTAAAAAGTGTAGATAGAGGTGACCCACTCCTGTGTTGACAGTAAGTAGACAGAGCTGGCATGTACATTGAGTTACTCCAGTGTTGACAGTTAGTAGATACACTTGACATGTACATTGACTCACTCTAGTGTTGACAGTGAGTAGAAAGAGCTGGCATGTACATTGACTCACTCCAGTGTTGACAGTTAGTAGATAGAGGTGGCATGTACATTGAATCACTCCAGTATTGACAGTGAGTAGATAGAGGTGACAAGTACATTGACTCATTACAGTGTTGAAATTGAGTAGATAGAGATGACATGTACATTGACTCATTACTGTGTTGACAGTGAGTAGATAGAGATGACATGTACTTTGACTCATTACAGTGTTGACAGTGAGTAGATAGAGGTGACATGTACATTGACTCACTACAGTGTTGACAGTGAGTAGATAGAGGTGACATGTACATAGACACACTCCAGTGTTGACAGTGAGTAGATAGAGGTGACATGTACATTGACTCATTACAGTGTTGACAGTGAGTAGATAGAGATGACATGTACATTGACTCATTACAGTGTTGACAGTGAGTAGATAGAGGTGACATGTACATTGACTCACTCCAGTGTTGACAGTGAGTAGATAGAGGTGACATGTACATTGACTCACTCCAGTGTTGACAGTGAGTAGATAGAGGTGACAAGTACATTGACTCATTACAGTGTTGACAGTGAGTAGATAGAGGTGACATGTACATAGACTCACTCCACTGGTGAAAGTAGGTAGATACACTTGACATGTACATAGACACACTCCAGTGTTGACAGTGAGTAGATAGAGGTGACATGTACATTGACTCATTACAGTGTTGACAGTGCGTAGATAGAGGTGACATGTACATTGACTCATTACAGTGTTGACAGTGAGTAGATAGAGATGACATGTACATTGACTCATTACAGTGTTGACAGTGAGTAGATAGAGGTGACATGTACATTGACTCACTACAGTGTTGACAGTGAGTAGATAGAGGTGACATGTACATAGACACACTCCAGTGTTGACAGTGAGTAGATAGAGGTGACATGTACATAGACACACTCCAGTGTTGACAGTGAGTAGATAGAGGTGACATGTACATTGACTCATTACAGTGTTGACAGTGAGTAGATAGAGATGACATGTACATTGACTCATTACAGTGTTGACAGTGAGTAGATAGAGATGACATGTACATTGACTCATTACAGTGTTGACAGTGAGTAGATAGAGGTGACATGTACATTGACTCACTCCAGTGTTGACAGTGAGTAGATAGAGGTGACATGTACATTGACTCATTACAGTGTTGACAGTGAGTAGATAGAGATGACATGTACATTGACTCACTCCAGTGTTGACAGTTAGTAGATAGAGGTGGCATGTACATTGAGTCACTCCAGTATTGACAGTGAGTAGATAGAGGTGACATGTACATTGACTCACTCCAGTGTTGACAGTGAGTAGATAGAGGTGACAGGTAAATTGACTCACTCCACTGGTGACAGTGAGTAGATAGAGGTGACATGTACATTGACTCACTCCAGTGTTGACAGTGAGTAGATACACTTGACATGTACATTGACTCACTCCAGTGTTGACAGTGAGTAGATCGAGGTGACATGTACATTGACTCACTCCAGTGTTGACAGTGAGTAGATAGAGGTGACATGTACATAGACTCACTCCAGTGTTGACAGTGAGTAGATAGAGGTGACATGTACATTGACTCACTCCATTGTTGACAGTGAGTAGATGGAGGCGACATGTACATAGATTACTCCAGTGTTGACAGTAAGTAGATAGAGGTGACATGTACATAGACTCACTCCAGTGTTGACAGTAAGTAGATAGAGGCGACATGTACATAGACTCACTCCAGCGTTGACAGTGAGGAGATAGAGGCCACATGTTCATAGACTCACTTCAGTGTTGACAGTGAGTAGATCGAGGTGACATGTACATTGACTCACTCCAGTGTTGACAGTGAGTAGATAGAGGTGACATGTACATTGACTCACTCCAGTGTGGACAGTGAGTAGATAGAGATGACATGTTCATTGTCTCACTCCAGTGTTGACAGTGAGGAGATTGGGGTGACATGTACATAGACTCACTCCAGTGTTGACAGTGAGTAGATAGAGGGGACATGTACATAGACTCACTCCAGTGTTGACAGTGAGTAGATAGAGGCCACATGTTCATAGACTCACTTCAGTGTTGACAGTGAGTAGATAGAGATGACATGTACATTTACTCGCTCCAGTGTTGACAGTGAGTAGAAAGACTTTACATGTACATTGACTTCAGAGTTGACAGTTTAGGGAACAAGGGAATATTTCACAGAAAACTCTTTGTTTCCAAATGCTGGGTAGTAAGCTTTAAAAATGACCCCTTTTCCTCAAAGGCGATATATGTCACCCTGCTGTAAAGAGATTTGAATTTCTTTGAGTAAGCAATTATATGTTTCTTTCGTAACAGTTATTATAATACAAGTAGAAACAATGACAACGAATACACATTTCTGGCTTAAATGATCCGGCAGACCTTGAATGAATTGAAAATACTAATGTATTTTATCTCCCTTTACAGGTTCAGGATCACACTCAAGTGGATACAGTAAGTACACATTAACAATGCAGTAGCTGTCACATCTAATTGCTGAAAAGATAGCCGAGAGATATTCAAACTGCACTCTACGATTGTAACTGTACACTACAGCTTGGAATGAATTGTTATGCATTTATTCATTCGCACATCAAAGAAAATACTAAATATGTACAATAGTGTTAAGGTCGGACTCCCGGCATCTCCATTCACAATTTAGCGTGTTCACTGATAGCAGTGTGTTGGGGTTGTTATCTGATAGCAGTGTGTTGGGGGTTCTGAGCAGGAGTTTCGTTGACGCAGGGATCGCATCTTTTAAATTTGTCATGTAAGTCATCAGAATAAGTGTGCAGTCATTATGCTTCTGTTTGTTTGTCATATGATGACGTGGAAAGTCAGATGAATCCCAGCTGTCTTAAATTGTTATAAAAACATCCTAAAAAGGATTTCGCGAAATGTTCCGGAAATGTTTTAAAACATGTTTTATCCACTTAAATGTGTATGTTTAAAAAAATGTACATAATATGTTTTAAAAACGTTTTCTGTAAACAATTGGTTATAACGTTTCAAGAGAGTTTTGAAAACGAACCAGGGCATCGGAAGACGTCATGAGTTAGTTGGTGTTTTGCTGCCTTTGTTCAAAACTTAAAACACCAAATAACTGTTAACAAGACACACATGGCAAGTAGGCAGAGACCGTTACCCTTTAGGCTTGTACTGCAGGAAACAAAATAATCATCACTATGTCTTCAACTTCCAGTCATGTGATGTGACCCTTCAACAAAAAACTTCAAGATATAATTCTAATATTTTAATATTTAAAAACTTTACGAATGTACTGATTGCCAGAATCTTCTTTGGTTTGGCTCTAAAAACGTTTCTGAAATACAAAATAAGACAACATCAGGAGCAGGTATATAAAATATAATAAACCCAAAAGACAACAACCATTTGGAGATAAAGTTTAATAATGTATATGGAAGTGTTTGGTGGAAACATAGTTTAATATTCATTAAGAGTCGCAGCCGAATAGTTGATGTGGTAGCTCTAGCATAATGAATCACGTTGAATACAAAAGGTGGTGCGAGCAGAGAACAGTATACACCCCATCCACTTAATTTTCAGCGTCCGAGTGCAGATACAAATCCAATTTTAGCACTCGTATAAATTCTAAAAAATATCAAGAGAATTATATGAAACGTTAACATAGTTCACAGCCCCGGGGTTATTGGGTTATTGTTATTGGCCAGTACTGACCACGCCTCTCCCGCCACCAAAAACAATGTAACACAAAAAGAACATTGTTTCAGGTCAACATATCAGACTTTACTTTAACATAACCACCACAATGAAGTACAGCGTTGATGTAACACTTCGCCTCTATAACAAATCTTCATAACCACATATTTGTATCCTCAATACCAAACAGCATTCTCCCTCGCCGTTATGTGGCTGATATATTTCCGATACGGCCTCAGATTGAGTTCTCTCACTCACTCACTCACTCACTCACTCACCATAACGTCAATGTATAATTAGTCCTCGCCGCTATGTGGCTTATATATTTCCGATACGGTCTCAGATTGAATTCTCTCACTCACTCACTCACTCACTCACTCACTCACCCACTAACCATAACGTCAATGTATAATCGCCACATAGTCCTAGCCGTCATGTGGCTTATATATTTCCGATACGGTCTCTCTCTCACTCACCATAACGTCAATGTATAATTAGTCCTCGTTGGTATGTGGCTTATAAATTATCGATACGGTCTTTGATTGAACTCTCTCTCTCACTCCCCCCTCACTCACTCACTCACTCACTTTAGAGTCAGACCATGATTTATTTCATCTTCCTCAATTAATGTCCACGTTATTATTTCTTTGCACAAAATGAATTTAATTTTTTTCACACAAATGTTCCAATAATGTATAGCTATTGCTATTATGAATAACAAATTACCCTTGCGAATATAATTTAAAGTTTAGGTATTCGTTTTACGAAAGGCGTTATTTAATCACATTATTATTTACTAAAATAAAGATGCACAGTGATAAGGTAAATTTCGTTAACCGATGCAATAGGCTTAATGCAGACCTTAGCCTGCAATTTGAATTTCTGAGGAGAGAAATGAGAAACGTTTGCCGTGTTCAAGCCCGTGTAACGCCGTAACTTCTGTCCAGCATTTTCTTGTTTACCTCAGCGGCGCAGCATAGAGCTGATAATTGATGGTTGTTTTAAAATCAATACGAGGTAAGGTGACCACAGATGATCACGATTGTGTAGCCTATGGTTTGTTCAGCAAGTTACAATAGGTTGAAATAAGTGACATTCATATTTCATGCGATAGCGAGCTGTGATTCGAACCGAGTGCGAAATATTGAATAAGAACCGGCGGGTGTCACTCCTTGTCTCTATGTATATAGAGGGGTGTGATTTTTTTCCTATACGAATACATTATGTTTTACACGCTATCATCGAGTTCCTCTGGGTCAGACACGCTTGTTGATGCATGTCATCATATTCCAATTGCTTGGAACGATGCTCATGATGTCAGTCGCTCGATCCAGCCTCGTTTATTTACTGACCGCTGTCACATACCTGAAATATTGCTGAGTAAACAACAAACAAACAAATCATTTATAGCCATTTACCAATCACTGAACTAGGTCTACCTGATATGTATACCTTTGCTACAAACATGTTCATGAGTGAACATTTTAAGGGGCAACTTTTTTGTCGAATGGCAATAAGTTATCTGAGGCCAGTATTTATAATGCTTTTCCGATGCTATATGTATATAGTTTTCTGACCACCATATTCTGTTTCAGCCTCGAGTGATCCGAGTTTGAAGCCAGTTGTGAAGGGCTTAAAACTTGTGGAATGGCAATAATGTGCTAGACCTCTATATATAGTTTTCTAAACAACATATTCTGTGTTTCAGCCTCGAGTGACCCGAACCGGCGCAGGAGGGATCCACGGCTCTCCACTGCTTCACACGGTAGGTGGGAGAACCCAGCAGGCAGAAAGCTCACTCCTAACCCTTCATACATACAGTGTATTCAATGAACAAGCTTATGTAAAGCAATGTAAAAATAAATATCATATTATCTAAATAATTTGACACAGTAATGGTGCTGACAGTGTGTGACTATTAACTCATAAAGCTCAGTACAACTCACCAGCTATACACAGAATAGTGTTACAACAACTGGATGTAGAAGAAAGCACTTAAACAAAAGTCATGTGAATAGATTATTCTTAGTTCAATACATAAACCACTCCCCTCATCGTTATATTGTTGCCATCCATACAGGAAGTGGTTCATCATGTATCGATGTTCCTGTCACGTGTCAACACTTCGAGGTGTGAACACAGTAGATGTAGGACAAAGATGTCTGGATGTGTACAGAGTTTACTTGGTGTTACAGCGACTCCATCACGAGCAGACCGCGACCTCTTCTACGCCAGCGGGACCGGGGACCTGGAGGAGGTAAAGCGGCTCCTGACAGCGGGAGTCGACGTCAACAGCAGAAAGGAAAGGAGGAGGTGGACACCGGTGATGGAGGCAGCACTGAGGGGACACAGAGACGTGGTGGAGCTCCTGGTGAGTGAAGGGGCTGATGTGTCACTGGTGGACGATGACGGTGACAACATCATTCACTGGGCCTGTTGGGGAGGAGACGTGGAGACAGTGAAGTTTGTGCTGTCTCTGAACGTGGTGGACATCAACAGTAGAGGAGAGAGGAGCAGGACACCGATGATGGAGGCAGCACGTTTTAGAAGCAGAGAGGTGGTGGAGCTCCTGGTGAGTGAAGGGGCTGATGTGTCACTGGTGGACGTGGTCGGTAACAACATCCTTCACTGGGCCTGTCGGGGCGGAGATGTGGAGACAGTGGAGTTTGTGCTGTCTCTGAACGTGGTGGACATCGACGCCAGGAACAACTCGGGGCGGACAGCACGGGACGAGGCGAGAGACTGGCATGAAGAGCCAGTGGTGAAACTGCTCGTGTCCCGCGGCGCTCAGTGACGTCAGTGTCGTGTTTGTGTAGACGGTGGAGGGGGACATGATGTTACAGACAGTGACGTGGTGTGCCGTGCGCGTCGTCGAGTTATATATTCCAGGATTAAGTGAGAATGTTTCTTGTGTTTGAGGAGAAATAAAACTTGTTCAATATATTTTTAGATATTTTGTCATTTGTTGTGTTTGGAACTTCGCATGATCAGGTAAGAAAATTGTTGCCTCACTTAACAGAGTGTAAATATTGATGATGTGTGATTATTATGTGAACACTGCATCTCGTAATACAATTAGTCTGTGTAAATTATGTGTCAGGAGTTTATAATTAATCGTGAAAGAGACAACAAACTGTTTGTTTACATCTCGCTGCACTCGGTGACCTCACACTGAGCCGAGGTTCGCCCAGCTGACGTGGCGCCAAATGTACAATGGCGGTGACGTCACACTGTCGATGACGTCACGGCATTGCGGTCAAGGTCGTGCACCAAAGTGACCGGCTGTTTTCTCTGCCAAAACAGGGCGGCACAAAGCAGGCTTCACGGCATATGCATACAACACATGGACTTTGTAGTAGATATAGCTTGACAAAGGCAGATATATACATATCTTTTTATTGCTGTTTGAATTTAAAAAAATAAAAGCGCCAAAACCTTTTCCATGTTCATAAGAAATCGCTGTCAATTCTACACTTCAGTCTATATCATGAGCGTGTGTTTATCCCTCATGGTGCCTGGCCGTCAGTCGCAGTTTCCAAATCGTAGCATTGTATCAAAAGTGTAACAACGTTCTTATTTCTTCACACAGTGTAACCAAATAAAATAACATGAACTAGCGCTGACTGCCTTCACCGATCAGTCATCGCCATTATTTCCATGGTACATTGATTGCTGAATTATTCCTTGTACAAATTTTACTGTACCAATAAAAAAAAATTTGGTGAAACTATTAGCAAATGCACTTATTTCTATCATAGGATTATGATTCACTTGATTTCTGTTGTAACGGTACGATGGGGAATCAAAACAGTGGAAATTAAACTTTCACGTCGATTACCAGTTATCGCCATCGTCTTAACAGCACGTGCCACGTGATCACGCGCACCGTTTCAGTTATACAAATTACATTATTTAGTATCTCGGGCATCGAACTCAATTTTTTTATTCATCAAAATGAATAAGAAATGCTAATTTTAACTTGTCTGCAAACTGACAAAACACAACATTCCCCAAATTCGATCTAGATCCTTAACACTGTATGTACTGTGGATTTCGCGATGTTTACAGGGTTATGCAGCAATAGAAAATAACAGTTTTACTCCACTAGTCCTTATAATGATAGCATATAGCAAAACCCTTAAAATTGTCAAATTTCTACTAGTCCTTACGATACCATAACTATTGGGCAGTTTGGTAAAGACTACCAGACTAGTGACAATTCCTAATGCTGTTATGCAGTTTTGGAAATATAGCTCAAGTAGGTTTGAGTATTGTATTTTGGGGCAGAAATGACAGACAGTAAACGATACGCGAACTGAATGTGCATCATCGCGTTGTTTGATTTATATTTTCTTGTGAATTAGTCACGTGACGCCGCCCGCCTCTCTTTTCTAAAGTTGTATTTGAGCAAGGTGATTATTGGGGTGTTTTACGAATATTTCCTTACAAAAAATTCCTTACGAAGACCCGGGTTCGATTCTTGACAGGGGTACAATGTGTGAAGCCCATTTCTGGTGTCCCCCGCCGTGATATTGCTGGAATATTGCTAACAGCGGCGTTTAACCATAATCACTCACTCACTCACTGAAGAAGAGAGGGTACTAGGGTCGCTTTATGTCATCAGAAACAATTATTAAATGTGAAATTGATACCCACAAAAGGCCCCCTCCTCTGGAAAAAATAATCAGTTGAACCAATTTTCGAACTCAGTCTTCACAAGTATATCTTAGATAGACGTGCAAACTTACATCTATGGAACTTCAGTAGTTTCTCAGAAAACGTGTCCCCAATTTCACGCAGTATGCACGCAGTATGAACGCAGTGTGCACGAAGTATGCACGCAATATGCACTAAGTTGAAACGCACTGGCTGGAAGTATGTAAAACAATAAAATACACCAATTTTCGTACTCATTTGAGATCATGACCTGTAACATCAGTGTGAAAAGTTTCATTTCTCTGGGCGGCGGGCAGAAGAACGAACTCCGTTCCTATATCCTCGGCCCCACTCGGTGGTTTGTTTGTTGTTTGAGGTCGAACTCAGTAATATTCCAGCTTTATGACGGCGGTCTCTTAATAGACCAGTCTGGGACAGACAATCCAGTGATTGATGTCATGAGCATCGATCCACGCAATTGGGATACGATGACATGCATCAACCAAGTCAGCGAGCCTGACCACTCAATCACGTTAGTCGCCTCTTACGACAAGCCCGGGCTCAGTGCACATGTGGTCATCTGAGTATTACACATCCTGTCTGTACCTAGCTGCCGGATTCACTGCACATGTGGACGCCTGGGTATTGCACATCCTGTCTGTACCTAGCTGCCGGGCTCAGTGCAAATGTGGTCATCTGGGCATTGCACATCCTGTCTGTACCTAGCTACCGTCCCTCACTGCACATGTGGACATCTGGGAATTGCACATCCTGTCTGTACCTAGCTACCGGACTCACTGCACATGTGGTCATCTGGGCATTGCACATCCTGTCTGTACCTAGCTATCTCAACACCCGGTGTATAACAGCTGCAGAACATGGACATCAACTACTGGTGCACATCCTTGTTACTCCCGTCAATCTCAACACCTGATGTATAATAGCTGCAGAACATGCACATCCACTACTGGTGCACATCCTTGTTATTCCCGTCAGTCTCAACACCTGACGTATAACAGCTGCAGAACATACACATCCACTACTGGTGCACATCCTTGTTACTCCCGTCAGTCTCAACACCTGATGTATAACACCTGCAGAACATACACATCCACTACTGGTGCAAATCCTTGTTACTCCCGTCAATCTCACCACCTGATGTATAACAGCTGCAGAACATACACATCCACTACTGGTGCACATCCTTGTTATTCCCGTCAGTCTCAACACCTGATGTATAACAGCTGCAGAACATACACATCCACTACTGGTGCACATCCTTGTTATTCCCGTCAGTCTCAACACCTGGTGTATAACAGAACATACACATCCACTACTGGTGCACATCCTTGTCATTCCCGTCAGTCTCAACACCTGATGTATAACAGAACATACACATCCACTACTGGTGAACATCCTTGTTACTCCCGTCAATCTCAACACCTGATGTATAACAGCTGCAGAACATACACATCCACCACTGGTGCACATCCTTGTTATTCCCGTCAGTCTCAACACCTGATGTATAATAGCTGCAGAACATACACATCCACTACTGGCGCACATCCTTGTCATTCCCATCAATCTAAACACTTGATGTATAAGAGCTGCAGAACATACACATCCACTACTGGTGCACATCCTTGTTATTCTCATCAATCTAAACACTTGATGTATAACAGCTGCAGAACATACACATCCACTACTGGCGCACATCCTTGTCATTCCCATCAATCTAAACACTTGATGTATAACAGCTGCAGAATATACACATCCACTACTGGTGCACATCCTCGTTACTCCCATCACTCTAAACACTTGATGTATAACAGCTGCAGAACATACACATCCACTACTGGTGCACATCCTTGTTATTCTCATCAATCTAAACACTTGATGTATAACAGCTGCAGAACATACACATCCACTACTGGCGCACATCCTTGTCATTCCCATCAATCTAAACACTTGATGTATAACAGCTGCAGAATATACACATCCACTACTGATGCACATCCTCGTTACTCCCATCACTCTAAACACTTGATGTATAACACCTGCAGAACATACACATCCACTACTGGTGCACATCCTTGTTATTCTCATCAATCTAAACACTTGATGTATAACAGCTGCAGAACATACACATCCACTACTGGCGCACATCCTTGTCATTCCCATCAATCTAAACACTTGATGTATAACAGCTGCAGAATATACACATCCACTACTGGTGCACATCCTCGTTACTCCCATCACTCTAAACACTTGATGTATAACACCTGCAGAACATACACATCCACGACTGGTGCACATCCTCGTTACTCCCATCACTCTAAACACTTGATGTATAACACCTGCAGAACATACACATCCACGACTGCTGCACATCCTTGTTCTTCTCATCAATCTAAACACTTGATGTATAACAGCTGCAGAACATACACATCCACGACTGGTGCACATCCTTGTTACTCCCATCACTCTAAACACTTGATGTATAACAGCTGCAGAACATACACATCCACTACTGGTGCACATCCTTGTTACTCCCATCAATCTAAACACTTGATGTATAACAGCTGCAGAACATACACATCCACTACTGATGCACATCCTTGTTACTCCCGTCAGTCTCAACACCTGATGTATAACAGCTGCAGAACATACACATCCACTACTGGTGCACATCCTTGTTATTCCCTGTCAGTCTCAACACCTGGGGCGGTATAAGCTGCAGAACATACACATCCACTACTGGTGCACATCCTTGTTACTCCCGTCAATCTCAACACCTGGGGCGGTATAAGCTGCAGAACATACACATACACTACTGGTGCACATCCTTGTTACTCCCGTCAATCTCAACACCTGGGGCGGTATAAGCTGCAGAACATACACATCCACTACTGGTGCACATCCTTGTTACTCCCGTCAGTCTCAACACCTGATGTATAACGGCTGCAGAACATACATATCCACTACTGGTGCACATCCTTGTTATTCCCTGTCAGTCTCACCACCTGATGTATAACAGCTGCAGAACATACACATCCACTACTGGTGCACATCCTTGTTATTCCCTGTCAGTCTCACCACCTGATGTATAACAGCTGCAGAACATACACATCCACTACTGGTGCACATCCTTGTTACTCCCGTCAGTCTCAACACTTGGGGCGGTATAAGCTGCAGAACATACACATCCACTACTGGTGCACATCCTTGTTACTTACGTCAGTCTCAACACCTGATGTATAACGGCTGCAGAACGTACACA